ACATCGTTTACAGAGCTGCCTGGTCCGAGTGCAGCATCCCAGGTCATCTTCCTAGCAGGTCCCGTGAGTAGTTATGCCTCAAATGCATTTTGATCCTTCAGCCATGTTTGGCGATGCAAGCATGTCCACCTAACACGTAAAAACCCAAGAGCTCCAAAGAGGATTCTGGCAAACTGGAAGCTGCGAGGTTGATGAGCAAGAAGAGGAGCGGCTGTAGGAGGGAAGCCTGCAACACTTTTCTTTTCTTTTTCCTTCTTTCTTTCTTTCTTTCTTTCTTTCTTTCTTTTTTTCTTTTTTTTTTTTTTTTTTTTTTTTAAAGGATGAGGGGTTAGGGGTCGGTTCATGATGATCTCTTTCTACTCAAAAAAGGCAATTCTGGGTCCTAAGGCAGTAAGTAGCCAGAGTTCAGGGGCAGAGTTTACAGGCTCAGAGATCAGCGCCTCGAGCTCCTGCACTGCTCCCTAGCTGAGGGCCTGGCCCAGGATCCCCGGGTCAATCCCCTGGGGAAATGCTAGCTCAGCAAGTGCCCCTTTCTGGGTTGGGCTAAAGGTCGCGGCCACCGACTTCCTGAGAAGCTGGAGGCCGGAGCCCCTGCCACGCAGGGCAGGCCACGTGGCTGCCTCCTGCTGAAGTGCTCAGCTGGGTCGCGGAAACGCTGGGGTGTGGAATGCCTGGGTCTGGTCCTAGGGCTGAGTCTTTGTGGGGAGAGCTACCTTTTTCAGAGAACAGTAAATCCGAATGTGCTTTCACCAGAGTAGAGACCTCCTGGGATTGCCCCGCACAGTTTTTACCGACGTCCAGAGACAATGACCACAGCGTGCCAACTGGACGGCCCCGCCCGCCCGCTTCTGCCATATTTTAAGATGACAGCCTGGCTAAAAACCAGATTCTACTTGACCTCCACTTAATTTTAATAGCTCGTAGCCAATTCTTCTCAAAATAAAGCCACTCCTGCACCCTCGTATTTGCATCTTTCACCCCGACAAGAATATCCCTTGAAAACAAAGCATGACTGAAATTCTGCCTCCTACTCTACCAAGCGCTCTGCTTTGTAAATATGAATCACAGAGTGTCCCACAATTATCTTTTAGAAGGTCGCTGCGGAACTCTAGAGAATTTTCGATTTTTCAGCTATCTTGATTTTCCCTTTATTAATATCAATCTCGATTTCCCCCCCTTTAGTTGAGCATTAAAAATAACACAAAGAGAACAAATGATAGGAACATTTCTTCCTTTGGGGATGCGACCAAGGAAGATGGGGGAGAGGCGAAATTGGGGAGGTGAACTTCAGAGAGAGGCACTGTTGAGAGAGGGGAAGGGTTGAACCAGGTGTGGAGAAACAGTTCACCTTCCTGCCTAGCCCGGGTCATTAGCAAGTGCCGGTTTATCAAGGCTTCTAGTCAGCAAGCCAGCCCTGGTATTCCTGTGTCCCGTTCCCCACCACCACCACCACACACACACACACACCGGGCTTAGGCTAAGCTTTTGAAGTCACCTAGCTTAGAAGAGCATTGGAAATGAATGACCTAAACAGAGCCATCTCTGTCCTGTGATCCTTTGAACAGGGTCACCAGGAATCACTTTAGTTCTGAATAGGAATTCCTTTTGAACTCATTCTGAGGTGTGGAGGATGGAAGTGCTTGTTAAGTGGGGCTGGGATTTATATTTTGAGCAAAAGGTGGGACCTTTCCAGGTGAATCAGTACAGCAATAGCTAGGACTTGGTGAGCAGTGCACAGCGGGTGATGGGCTGAGGTAGGCTGCCTTGTCCCTTAGATACAGCTCCTTGTCAGCTCTTAACCGCCTTCTCTCCTGTCATTGCTGGGTACAGCTGAGTCCTTCTCTATTTGCCCGCAACTCTGATACAATTCTGGGTATCTCATGGATGTGAGAGTGGCTGCGATTTGCACAGTGTTTCAGATTAACATCAGAGAGTTAGTTCCCTTTATTTTCAATACCCGATTTGGGTCTTTTAAGTAAAACAATTTTACATCTTCCCCTTTAAAGCTTCTGTCAATGTGATGTCAGCTGGGGACCGGGGAATGATGGGTTAATTAGGATCTAACTCACTTTGTCTACTTCAGGAACAGGAAAGATCCCCCCCCCCAAAAAAAAAATTTCACTGAAAACAACAAATGCCTTTTGCACTTGGAGAATTCACAGGGAGCTTTGCTCTCAGGCTGCAAACTTGGCATGTTTGCAGATCTTCCTGAGCAGTGCTTATAAAAAGAAAAAAATGGGAAAAGGACAGAACTCTCATGCTGGGCACACACAACATCTCTGTAATTATCCTTACACTTTCATTGTACACTGACATTTTCTTAGCAGTCAGTTACAAATAGTTTGGGATAAAGAAAAGAAACACACTGTAAAATTGTTAGCAAGCTGGAAGACTTTAGAGTTGGGTTTATACAAAAGCTGTATACTCCATGGTGACTCCCCAGGGTCTCTCCTCAGTCTATAGATGACAAGTCACTGTGTCTTTGAATCTTTTAGATGAAGCACAGGAACCCACCTGCAGAAGGGGGCACATACTGAAAAACTACAGTTGAATAAGTCTTAGGTTGTTGTGCATCTTAGATTTCATTTAATTTTGGACATTTTACAGGGATTTCCCAGTTTGATATTTCAAAGCGACAATTCCATTACAGTGTAATATAAAGTCTATATCAGCACCAGTGACTTCAGTCACTCCTGCCTTGCAGACAGCCATGGTGATGTTTGAGCATCTTAGTCCCACTGGTGACTCTAACTTCATGACTCTAACTGATTCTCCTTTCATCTCTCTGAATTTCTTTAATAATATGAAGCTAAAGTTATACAATTTGAAAGTTCCAATTGAGAAGTAAGGGGGAAAATTAAAAAGCAAGAGAAACTGAAGGACCCCACAAATGAGCAAATGGAAGCGGCATCAATGTTAATCACTAGAACATCTGACTCTCTGCATTCGAGACGAGCATGGGATTTAAGACTTGGATATCCTAGAAAGAGCCAGGCGAAGTGATACATAGACTCCTGTGTTTCCACCTTGACTTTATTTTATTCTTCTACTGCTTATGATTAAGTGTAGCTTGGAGAATTGGCATCGTATCTCACTGCTGGTTGACCTGACTGAAATACACACTTCTCCCTAACTCCCTGGTTATTTTCAAGTTGCTCTGAAAACTGAAGAAAAACCCTCAGAAATACAGAACTCCTCGGGACATTTTACCCTGATCCCAGTTCTGCTATTTCAATATCTTATCTTCAGCCGTGGGATGCTCAGCAATTTAAGTAAACATTGGACAATTTACATGGCTTTTCTGGCTCAGTTTTTCCTTTTGGTCATCCTAACTCCTTTCACTGGGAAGTTCCCCCCCCCCCCCAACAGATGGCTTTCCTGAACCCTTAAATCCCATTCACGTTGTTTGATTTGGTTCTTCCCAAGGAAAACATGTTGTTTTTGCCAGTGACCACAAGAGGACACAATTTCCTAGGTACTTTGGCTAAAAAGAAGTTTGCAGAAGAGGAGCAGCAGCTTAGCAAAGGCAGCAAGCAATGGATGTCATTCTAGAGATGTCTGGCTAGTCTTTGTCACTTTCATTCATTTTTAAAAGCATAAAAATAAGTTAATCTTCAACCTTTAGACTTTTTATTTATTTTCCCCCATTGTGAAACTCGGAGGAAACTACAGATACGGCAAATGTAAAAATATTAGTATCGTTAAAGAAAAATGTTTATATTTGACAGATTTTGCGCAAAATTCTTGATCACCTCTATTTTTAGAGTAATGTTTAATAACAAAAAATAGTTTTTAAGAACCATATTAGCATTTGAAAAATTCTTAGCTGGGTGTGCTGGTGTGTGCTTAAAATCTCAACACTTTTGAAGCTGAGACAGAAGGATTGCTTAGAGTTCAGGGCCAGTGTGAGTCACTTGGTGCATGCTAGGCCAGCCACTCAACTATATGAGATACTGTCTCAATAAAATTTTTCCGTTGACTGAATTTGAGCATTTGCATTATATCTACATAGAAAGGTGTGTTAAAATTGTTTTCATGATTTGCTTAATATGTTTGAATGCACATGTTAGATAAATAAAATTATTTTTCAAAGAATGTACGGTTATTTAGAATAGTCACTCTCTGTACGTCTTCAAAATGATTATACATAATCTTTGGTCAACTTGTTTCTCCTTGTGTCCCCTCCCTTCTCTGAAAAGGATTTGAGACCAGATAAGTGACACACAGCTATAATTCCTACATACATACATACATAAGCTTAAAGAGACCTTGGGAGAGCAGAGAGAACCCAAGGTTTAAAAGGTTTTACAGCAGCTGATTATTTTGTGAATTAAAATGAATGCATTTGATTTCT